TCCTACATGATCTCCCTAATCCCGTCATCAGATGCAGCTGGCCCACCCTGCTGCCAGCTCCCGATACCGATCTGGACCCAGCTTTAAATAGTCTTGTTATCACCATACTGAAAATAAACCAGTGAGATATTAGATAACGCGCATATCATAACAAGGGAACCAACTCCTAATCAAACCCTTGGGGGTTGTGACTTCCTTGATACGTGTACGAGTCCCATGCTTTCAGTAGTAAGAGCCCATACTACCTTCCATACCTACCTGTATTTGTGTAAGAGGATCATCACAACAACCCTAACAATACACACTAGCATGCTCACAAACAAGATCCTCACATCCTAGAGGAAGACTACACATCTCGAGATTGGCAAGCTGACCCTACACAACTCATCCTACCACTAACTTCCACATGACCCTCCATTGGTCCCAGATAACTATCGCATGAATACAATCACATGTTGCACAGTTTAAACAATCTTAGACTAAAAGAATCAATCCTAAAACAGTTAGATTGCGCAATAAAACCAAATCTTTTATCCTAAGATCATTTAAACCCTGTACCATGTGACTTAGCGTATTTACACAATAGCTAGTTCACACGCGAAAGAATCAAACAAAAATCAGTCGAGGATTCTATAAGAGATAAGACATCATATATCAAACAATTCTATCATACAATTCATGATGATTCATATCCTAATACTAGCATGTTTTCTAACATATCAAAGCATAATCTCAAATAATTGTGTGGTAATTTGGGGTCTACTTACTGACACCGAATGATCATACACATCGCTTCCTCCTTGATTATTTTGAAAACCATTTAAAAATTTTTGAAAAAAAATATTTTTACTTAGTTTGAGACTGGATTCACGTGAGTGTTCCTCCAATTCACTCAAACCAAGGCTCTGATACCAACTTGTAACAACCATAAAGTTCATGAAAATTTTAAACTTTGTAAATCAACCCATAATTCATCATTGTTTACAAAATAGTTTTCAAAACATGTTAAATATCATAGTTTTCCCAAAATCATAAAACAAAACACGAGGAGGTGCACAATCACACCTTTGCCTTCCTACGATCCTCTGAGGTACCTAAAACATAACCCAAAACTATAAGCCCAAATCTTAGTGAGTTCCCCAAAAATACCAACACACAACAAATAACACATATACAATAACAGCATGCAATTGGTCCACAACTAACAGACTAGATTATCCCTGAGCCCACAACATAAGTATGGCTTGCCTTCGGCCCACAACTTATGTCTGGCTTGCTCCCCGATCAGATCAGCCCTCAGACTGAATACCACTAAGCCCTCATTATGAGTATGTCATGCCCTTCCCGACCCTTATCTCATATCTGGAATGCTCATGAGCCCCCAATATGAGTCTAGCAAACCCTTCTTGGCCCTCAACTCATATTTGGATTGCTCCAGGTTTGTTGGCTACCCTACGGAGCAATACAAACTCAACCCAAACCACAAAATATGTCTACATATAACAAATAATAACATACACAAATAACCAGACAGTATCACAGGTAGTCCTACAGATCTACCAGACTAGCATATCAAAACTAGCATGTATATCTATTCCATACTCAGCATATCAATGAATATCAAGTTATTAAACCAATGGACCGGCCTTGGTGCCTTCGACCCATGATTCATTGAGGAAAACTCACTTCACAGACTGAATAGAACTAATGAGGTCCGACTCCGAAATCTCAATTCTCTAACCGATACCTGCTTCCACCAAGTGGCCAATTCCATCAAGATCCCAAAATACCCTCAATGGCCAACTTGGTCAAAGTCAGCGGTCAATGTCAATAGTCCATGTTGACCCAACACGCCATGTTCCTTTTGGCCATGCCGTGTTCTGCGAGCTTCCAAACAAACATAAAAACTTCAGCTAACACACCGTGTTGACTTGAACACACACCGTGTTCACCAAAGTTCCAACAACTTAATACATTTAGTTGCCTTTTTGACTCTAAGAGCTCCAAATCTCATATTTACACCAAAAATGTGATTAGGAATGATATAGTTTCCAACTTTATCCATTATGACTACCAAAAGGTCCAAAAACCCACATCACAAGCTTGATAATGCAAGGTTGGTTCTAACACCTAAACCATTCCAAAGGTTGGTGCTTTTTAGACATACATGTCTAATGTATGTATTGAACAATATAAGGTCAAAATAAGGGTTTATGACTTAATCTCTATACATGGCATCAAAACTTGATTATAGACCAGATGCAAAACATTACTAGGTCACCTTGACCTAGAGATTCATAAAGTTGCAAACTTTATGAGATCAACCATTGCAACATTCAAGAACAAGGAGAAAAAGGGACAAAACTCAAGATCTAACAACTTTGAATGATAAAAATAGGGTCTGTGACACTTACAAAGATCCAGAAGAGTGCCAAACTGAAGAATGAAGCTTGCTTGCATGATCTTTGCTTCCTTCTTTCACCTTCTTCCTTTAAAACACCAAATTAGCTTCACAACTGGGAAAGAAATGATTAGGGTTTCTTTCAGAGCTTGAGGGGCTGATAGGGGCTGAGGGTGAACAAACCATAGCCTTCACATTCCTTTAAATAGGGAGAAAAACCCAGAATAATACGGTTTCATTTCAGCAGTCAACACGCCGTGTTCCAAGAGGAAACATGTTGTGTTGCCCAAATAAAACTCACGCCTTTTAATATCCATACACGTCATGTTGGTGCCTTCAACACACTGTGTCCAAACCTCAATTGTAACCAAGAGTGCTAACACTTGACCAATTGACAAGAAATAGAATTATAGGGATGAATTTAGAAATACTTGAACATCGGGATGTTACATTGTAAGTCTCTTGAAACTTCACTTAAGTAAGATTTACAATCATATATTGATGGAAATGATATATATGTTGAATTAATATCACTTCTACATCTTTTACCAAAAGAAAAAAATAACAACACTAGATATTCGAAACTTTTTAAAAAGTGTTGATTGTTTTTCCTAATCTATCTAATGCATATAGAATTTGTAACTATTCATGTTACTATTGCATTTTCAGAAAGAAGTTTTTTCAAATTGAAGATATTGAAATCTTATCTGCAGTCTACAATGACTCAAGCACGGATTAATGGATTGATTTTGATTACAATTGAAAGAAATGTTTTAGATAAAATTATTTATGAAGAAGTAATTAAAAATTTTGTTTCAGTAAATGCCAGAAGAAAAGCACTTTTAAATATATTTGAATGAATTTTAACTTAAGTTGCAATAGAAAATTGTATATCAAAATTGGTTTGCTCTAACTTTTTAGAATTTTCAAGTTTTGATTCCTATTATACTTATATATTAAAAGGCATCCTGTTTACGTACAGTAAGTTTTATGCATTTTAGATTTCAGGCACACCATTTCGTTAATATTAAAGATTTGGTCCCTCTTTACCCTAAAAATATTTCGTCCCTTGAACCCTTACATCGTTTGATTCCATAAGCCTGTTCTACGTTATTTTTGACAATCAACGACATCCATTCAGGAATCAAGATTAGATATCTCGACGGTTTCCATATCTTTGACGGATTGGGTTTGACAATCAACGATATCCATTCAGGAATCAAGATTAGATATCTCGACGGTTTCCATCCAACAATCAACAAATACCGTCAATTACCGCCACCAACATCAACAGCCTGTCTGAGAAAAATGCACACATCTATTCCCTATTACGATCAAAATTCCCTAAAACCACCAGACCGCCTCCCCGCTTCTTCTCATATGCCTTCCTGTCAATCGGTTAACAAGTCGACTCAGATTCGTTTTTGGCCATTTAATCATCAAATTTCTGTTACAGATAAGATAAGATAGACGGGATTAATCGTTGCAGCCTACGATTTTTGCATAGAGAAGAAAAGGGGCACCGACGAAACTCTGACTCAGGCATTGATGGGGCTTCAAAGTAAGAAATCACGTTTGAGTGTATCTGCCTTCAACACAAAACATCAACTGGACAACGCAGGAATGAGAGAGATAAGTAGAGAGTGATAGAGATTTTTTGTGGAGGTTTGGTTAGCCATCGTTCTTGACGATGATTGTGAAGGAGAAGGAAACAATGGGGATTGCCGGTGTTTTTGTCTTTGGGGTCTGCAAGGTAGGTGTTTTGGTCGGTGCCTTCATAGGTCAGCCGCTATTGTATTCTATATAAATTCAGAAAACACATACAATTGGATATTGATATGCGTTTTACTCTTCAAATTCAGGCGTTAGGGTGGTTGTTGGTGGTTGTTGGAGCGTCAAACACAATTCTTGAAGTTATTGTTCCATATTCTCATATATCAATCATCGAATTGCTTAGCAGGGTATGTGGCCCTTTTCAATTGAAGGGTAAAATTAAGATGTAGTTGAATGTTATAAATTTAAGATTGTATATATGTCTAAGTTTTACAATATGTGACTCCTTTTGTGGGCATGTGATATTAGCTTTAATCTTCATAAATACTGCAGATGGCTTGCAGGAACCTGAAGATGTTTATTCAGGTAACATCGATTTGAACCCATTTCACCCTTTTATTCTGTTTATAAAAGATACTATAAATAAGTTGTGTTTTCAATGGGATAACTGTCGAATTACACGCACGATTTGATAAAAATCGAGCAGGTGCATGTTAGGTGTATGGTGAAATGTCTAACTGAAGCTATCTTCATGACAATAGGTATGCTTTTGTATGAAATTCCATTTCTTTGATCATAACTCTAATCTATTTTTTGTTTTAAAACTGTTTTAATTTTTTGCAGGCAAAAGATGTTGATTTTGATGGTGATGAGATGAATATGCATATTCCACAAACAAAAGAGGCTCCAACTGAGGCTCTTATGCTTATAGGGGTAATCATGTCAATTAACCACTTCATATGTACTTTCAATCCATTACATTAGTAATAATAAATTACGATATCACATATCATTTGTTTTCCAATCACGCAGGCTCAAACAATCTATGCACACCGAAGAATGGGGAGATTTTTGGTTGCATCAACGCATGATTTTGTTGACATCTTCCTTTATTATAACAATAAAGGACATGTTATATGATTGTGCCTCATTTGCACTTATGTGTTGTTATATGGGTTATGCAATGGATCCTCTTGATTTTCCAACTCCTGTTATACTCAAGGGCCAAGGCAAGATAACATAACAGAACTTGCAGTTGCTCTTGCATCTCATATTTATGTCAATTGTTCTATATGTGTTTGACATTAGAGATATTTATGTCAATTATTTTACCTGTGTTTGAAATTGGTTTATTTTACTATTTTGGTTGCAGCCAATACAACTTTGGACTGGTAAAGAGCTGTTTAGATATGAGAGATTATCTGAATCTTATTGTTACTGAAAAGCGTCACACTAACCCCTAATGATAGACTTTACTCGGTTCTTCTTAGGGATTACAATTCGCATCTTGCTTATGGTATTTTTTTACTTATGTTTCTTGAATCTGATTTAGTTAATGTAAGGTATGTTATAACATAATTATGTGGCAATTTAGATTAAGTTCTCTTTATTAAGTTTCCTTATTGTTTGTGTGTGTGTCTGTCTGTGTGTGATGTTTATTATGCAGTACTCTATTGATAGGAAACCATGGATTAAATAATTATGGTATATATCATAAGACTATTTATCTAATTCTTTTACTGAATTATTTTGTACACCTTTTAGGAAAAAATAAAAATGCATAATGAACAAAGATTGTTTCTAACTTCTAACAAACTACTTTTTGCAATTCCAGTTGTTATGAAGCAAGCAATTCACACTTTAAGGAGAGACAATGTTGATACTTTTGTCTTGGACGTTTTCAATAATAAGTAATATTTTATAGAATTTGGGCTTCATTTTTGGAGACTTTTTTTTAAAAGACAATAAAATTCTGATGCAGTGCTGGTCTTTTTCCCAAAGGAAGCACAAGGGTGTGATTGTCTACATATATAATAACCATGGACTTCGAGATGTATATGGCAGTGACATAACCAATGCAATAACAGCTTCAGAGTAACTACAAGTGAAAATGTGTAAAAAGTCAAAAGGAAAATATGATATATTTTTTTTGTGTGTATTAGGTGAACAAAGTAACTACAAGTGTTAATGAAATATTCACAAGTGAAAATTTGTAAAAAGTCAAAAGGAAAATGAGGTCTTTATGATATCTTTTTTGTGTGTATTAGGTGAACAAAGTAACTACAAGTGTTATAGGATATTCGCTGGTGCATTCAAGGACTACAAGTGTGAGTGAGATATGCATACCTGGCCGAATGCATGAAATTTTAATGTAGCAGAGTCTGTTTTAGTGAATGTTTTATAGTTATAGTAACGATTCACCTGATTCAAGTCAATTTACCCCTATGGCATCCAATTATGATACCGGGATATAAAACAATCTTGGGCATCCCTTCAAGTCAATATAACAAGTGAAATACCAAAAAACAAAAATATGATAGTTAAGGATCAGTTACCTGTCAGTATAAGGGAAATACCAAAAAAAAAAAAAAAAAAACGTCCCGTGCGATGCTCGGGATCACTTCCTAGTTTTTATTAATCCACATAGGGCCTCTAAACTTACTATACGTATTTTTGTATCTTCTCATATAAATACATATTATTCATTTATTAATATGCCTAAATAAATATAAATCATATCGTAAGTATAAATGAAGAGTACTTTTATGCAAATAATATATATATATATATATATATATATATATATATATATATATATATATATATATATATATATATATATATATATATATTATTTGCATAAAAGTACATATTTTATATTTAAACTCATTTCATATTTTTATATTTAAAATTATACTTTTATATATACATATGTTTCATATAAGAATGTACATAGAGGCAAAGCCCTCTCTAATAAGAAGAGACCTCGGTCAAATTTTTGTTTCCATTTAAAAAAAAAAAATAGGAGAAAATTATACAGATTATATTATACAAAAATATCTGAAGAAGTTCTAAATTTTTAACTAAGTTTATGATTTAGTTCAAAACTAATTTAAAAAAAAAATATATTGTCTAATATAACAAGTTTTACCATTTTTTTTACCTATTGAATAGATAATTGTAAGGGTGTGTATGGGACGGTTTGGTTCGGTTATTGGTCCAAACCGAACCATAACCATTATGATTGGTTAATGTATTTTGGTAGCCATTAGGTATGATTAATATTGATTATGGTTAATGGTTTTTGTCGGTTAACGATTTTGGTTAATGGTTAATATTGGTTAACCATAATATTCAAAATAATATAAATGGCAAAAGTATAGTGACATAAAAGTGAAAAGAGAATACAAAAAGTCATCGGCACTAATGTTTGTAACCTAGCTTATGGTAATAGAATGAAATGTGTACCTTTGATACTCAGAGTGAGATAACACATAATCACATTCAAAATAAATAAATAAATAAATAAAAAAAACATTCATTTAAAAGTATAAAAAATTAAAAGAATTGATATTAATAACTTCATATATTGATAATTGATATTAAGATTAAAATAAAGTCAAACATTCATACATGTTAAATGCGATTAAATAAAAAAACTATAAAATAAAATAGCTAAACATTTATATTGCGTATTATTTGGATAAAAAAATAAAATAATCACTCATATACACTCAATGTGATTAAGTCAAAAACGGTAAATAAAAAAGCAATTCCTTTAGAAAAAATACATTCTTAATATATCATAAAGTGAAGAAGAACTAAAAACATAACTTACCTAGAAGTTTTGATTATAAATTAAAAAAAAAAAAAAAAAAAAAAAAAAAAAAAAAAAAAAAAACCTCCGAATAGAACTATAAAGTCAAAACAATCTTTGATTAGGATTAACGGTGTGAGAAGCCTCCTATTAGGATTATGAGTGTGAAGATTAACTAATTATGAATAATGTTTACAAATTATAGAATTAGCCGATTAGGAATTACAACATTAATCAATAATCTAACTCAATGCATGATTGGAAAATTATATGTGTCTGCATGATCTACGTGATCATCCTTTGATAGTTTGATTACACGTTCCTCTCCTAATAAGTAAGGATTACTGAATTATATTTTGGAAATTTAATGGGTCTTAAATAAGTTTGACTATATTATTTTATATATAATCCGTACTTCTTATGCATTAAAATATAAAGTTAGCGGTTCGGTTAATAATGGTGCGGTTAACCTATAAAACCATAATCGAACCGTTTGTTAGCGGTTAACAAAAATTAGAAACTGAACCAACGGTTTTTAAAATGGTTCGGTTATATCGGTTTTTTGATTATTATGCACACCCTTAGATAATTGTTAACCTCACAACTTGGCAATAAATGTTGAATTGGCAACTGACAATGCATGACATATCAGCTTCTTATGTTTAATTGAAAAAAATAAAGGCACATTGAAATAAATGGCTTCAACAAGGGTCGAACTTCTATCGTGGAGAAATAAAGGCCAAATCCTAACCATGAAACTATGTCTTATTCCGTGGTGTTATATCTTATTTAATTAATATGTATTGACTAACTCAAATAATAATAAAGGTCATTTGATAGTTACTAACTGGATTAGAGTTGATTAGATTGGAAATCGATTGAGTTACAAGTTCTGATCAATGTTTTAAAAAACGGTTTGAACCAGCCGGCCGAATTGGTTGGACCGAAAACCGGGGTAGCGAACGTTTCAATTATCACCAATTTTATTTCTATTTCTAAACTGAAACGAACCGACCGTTTTTACAATAACCCGGTTGTACAAATTAAATTAAATCGGTTGAATCGGTTATATCGAATAAAAACATAACGAAGAGAACCATTTTGTGTAATAAACTTGTGTGATTTTTTTCACATTTATTTAGATTTTTTTTAAGTAAAAACATATAGTAAATGATATGAAGTTTTTTGATGCGTTTATATTCATCTACAACTATATTTTGTATTAGGATTATATTTTATTTTCTTTTTGATTTATGTTAATTGATGTAAAACTTATGGTTATATGTTATGTTAATATATTTGGATTGATCATTAACTTGTTTTATGTGTATTTTTAATGTTTAAACATGTTCTCATCAAATTTTTGATTTATATATGTATAGGAAAATAGGAATAATGATGAAAATTATAGAAACTGGTTGACCTGACGGTCAAACCGATTAAACCAGTTAAACCACAAAGTGGTCACCATATCGGTTTACCTAAAAACCGGTTTTTAAAGCATTAGTTCTGAATGAGTTAACTCTTCACTGAAACTTGTTGTTTGATTTTGCATCTGAATGACTATGGAAAATAACTATATTACCCACAAACAATAATTCGACCTATAGTAAAAACTAAAGAAATTAAAGATTCATAACTTTTGTTTTGACTATTGGCTTGACATACTCAAGTAAATGTGTTTTTATGAGAAATTAGCATATAAAAATCATTCTTCCCCGTTTCTGTTTTCTGTTTTTCAAAAATATGCACACATTTTTCGCATACACACAAATATACGTTCATAAGTTCGAACTTCAAAGTACAACAACATACATTTAAAACCCATCAATATTGAGTTATCAACAATAACCAACAGAAAATTAATAACAAAAGCTGATCAAAAAATACCAATGAACTTTGCTACTATCACCCATGACAGCGACATACTTTTAACATCCCACCAAATTCATCATACTTGTACCATATCTTCTTAGGGATAGTAAATTGATTACCTAATAAACTGAAAAAATAAAGCAAATTAAAAAAGTGGCCTATTTTAAAAGGAATCCAAGAAAAGACTGTGAAGATGAAGTTATTTCTTGGATCATGATTCACATTTTGACAAAACATACACTTCAAAAGTGCATTCCAACTGCATGAAAAAATTGCTTTGAGGGATTTTTTTTTATCTTCACCAAATGTTGCGTTGAGAGATTTTCTTTATCTTTACCAAAGTTTTAAATGCGCTCTCCACTACCTATGGTGACCAAGATGTGAATTTTCATATTTTGAGTTGGTTAGTAATCTTTTACGCAAATTTAAAGATGACCCAAAATGCAATTCAAGTGTTTGAACACATGAGGGTTCATGGCTTAAAACCATATTTGACTGCTTAAATTCATTGGTTAAAGAGAGGCTGACAAACAAAGTTTGGAAACTCTAAGAAAATGACCAAGACTGGGATCATTTCATATTTATATATCTATGATGTATTGATTCATGTTTGTTGCATATCTTCTGATATTGAAAAAGGAGAAGAATTGTTGAGTGAGATGGAGTTGTTTTTTAAAACACTATTTCCCATCATCTTTATACATATAACACACTGATATCGTTATATTACAAGAAAGTTATACAAGCCTTTATCTGTGAACGATGAAGGTGATCAGAAAAAATGTAGGAAAAAGAGCGGGTTGAAGGTCTGGAGTCTCTTTGCTCTTCTGATATGTGCTTCTATGGAGACGATTGTTAGAATTCAGTATTTTGAGGGTGATGTGTCCCAATCCTTCACCCTAGCATAAAGAGACTACAATCAGACACATTTCTTTGTACAAAGTCTAATGTTTGGACCGAGCCCAACCTTTTAGAAGATGCATCAAACATGTAATTGAGTTTTTTGGACCCAAATCACTTGTGGACCTAATTAGAAGGCTAATCAAACGGACCCAAAAGAAGAAAATAGGTGAAGCAAGATTCGAACTCGTAAACAACAATACAAAGATTTACCAACCAG